CAAACTTTCCTACTGAAATTTTACACTCCGTTTGATTGCACGTAGAAACAGAGATTGCCCTGCCAGTCAATGAGTGTCTCAGTCATAGAGAATAAAGATAACCCAGTTGTATTCACGAGCCTTATTTTATCTAATTCTGATACAGCATTTTTAGGATACTAATTTTTTTATTGATTGTACATATATGATGCTGTCATGAATATTCTAAACCATTTGTTTGAAGGCCAGTTATATAGAGAAATTTGTAAGTTAAGGTATGCATGATTTTAATAGTCTCATGTTAAACCAATATATCTTACAATGATTTAAAATTTGAAGAAGACAGAAAATCAAATATCAGAACTCAAAGAAAAAAACCCACCAGATCAGCTGTTCTGTCAGATAGCTATCAAGCTGAGGCCAGTATCTTTGCATGGCAGAAAGAGCAAAGGAATCTTACAGGCACAAGCTTTAAAAGTTGGAAATTACCTGAATGCCCATGAGGCCCACGGCTAATCAAATGCTTTATTTTGGTTCAACTCTTTATATTCATCTGAATATATGCAAAGCTGCTCAAATCATACACAAAGACAGAGTATATTACTAGAAGTAGATTGTTTTCTTCATCATCTTTGTAAAAGCATCAAAATATTCTAGAATTGATACATTTGTATTTTCCTGGATAAATTAAAGTGTGCAAGATGGCCTGTTATTCAGTTGAAGTGCTGTGAGTATCTTAATATGCATATTTCTGGCTTAACACAAATTCCTTTTACATTTCAAAATCTTCCAGGGGGATACATGATGCTGGAAGGCAAACTATACCTAAATACTGAGAAACTTTTACTGGATAATATATATGGCCACAATAGTCTCTACTCACCAGTTTCTGGCAATTAATAATGTTACAAAATCAGTTATAATTATGACAAGGAAAAAAAATATAATTAGAGGTGTCATTGTCTCACTACAGCTGGATAGACAAATTTTCACAAAGCTCTTGCACATAAAATAATTAGCTATGTACTGTGGACTTAGTCACTTTTCACAGTCCTGCAGGAAATGGGGTTTTTTTTTGATCTGGAGTCTTGGCTGAAATGTAGCTGTAGATGGATGCTTTTGATGAGCTGTATTAGCATCATCGTTGGATGTCCTCATAAAATAACAAGTTACTTACTGAATCAGAAGTATTTATGCGATGAAATTCATTCCAGGATAGCCAAAAGTAAAATCTTTATCCTGTCTTCTCAGATAGAATGAGTGTCAGCTGAGAACATCGCTACAAAAATGGGGAATTGAAAACAATATTTTGGATAAGTATTTGTAATGACTTTTGCCAGGATTTGCATTTCTTGTTAAGGTTCATATAATCAAGGCCTAAAACATTTTGGTAAACATAAAGGCTAGAGAGAAAAGCTTGAAGCCATGGTGATGGAAGAGAAAAATTATCTGTTAGATGGTATTTAAAGGCTTTGGTACCTTCTCACACATTACTGGTGACCTTAGTACCATGAGGTGTCACTCTGGTACCTTTGATACCAAAAATGTTGTTCCCAAGTGCCCAGCTCTGGATGTGAGCAAATCATGGAACGCTCATTGATATCAGCTGTTTTAACTTATTACCTCTTGACAGAAAGATTATGTAAATCTTTAACAAACGAAAATAAATACCTATTTGACAACAGTGCTGAAATCTTTTTCATCTTTTCTGTCAGAGAAAGGTAAATTTCTGTATGACACTATCAGTGATCAAGTTTGAGTTGTTAAGGAGTGCTACAGTTCCTGATCTTCACAGAGTGGTGGTTTCCTAAAAATGTGAAAAATGAAATACTGTTTTAGATTTCACTAATAAAAACTTAGAGCTGATTTGCCAGAAATTAATGATACATACAGTTGTGAAATCTTACTAATTATAGAGCAGTAGTATCAGTCAAATTATTCAGGCTGCAAATTATATTTTTGCACTTTGATCAAGATTTTCAGAAGTGACAAGTGATAGGGGATTTTTCTGTTGACACCTTTTGGAATAATGTCCTTTATATTAATAAAGTGCTGAGCAGTTATCGTGCACTTTCAAAGTATCTGAACTCCTGCATCCCAGAAGGGAGGTACGTAAAAGTCACATACAAGTTCTAAATATTGGAGTTGAATGGTAATTCTCACATTATTACATTTAATTTAAAAAGGATTGGTAAACAAAAAAATGATGCATGAAGTGTGACAGAGTCAAAGGTGATGAGATTGTTCTTGTCTTATGGAGGATTTTAATAATAAATCTTCACAATCCAGTTGAAACCATGAGATACACTAATATATGTAGATGTGATCAAATGCTTGATGTAAAATTCTTTCTTAAGCATCTGGGGTTTAACAAAACCGATTTTTTTTTTCTCACTGAAAATAATTTTTCTTGATTTTGTTCATATATTAATACTTTTCTTTTGTTATAAAGCAGACGCAGAAAATTTTCAACAGAAATTTTGGAATTTAGGGTCACAATTCTATTATCAACAACCATATTCTTTACCTGTAAGTCGGGGGGGGGGGGGGGG